TGCAAGGCTCGCGTGGGACCTCCGCCACTCAGGCCCTGCAGGCAGCGGAGGAGATGGCCGGGGTTGGGATGGTAGACCCCGGGACTCTGCAGAACCCCCGTCTGGGTCCCAGGCTGCAGGAACCGGCCCTGGACCCGCGGCACAGCCCACGCTGGCTCACGGCCCGCAACGCCGAGCTCAGGCAGCTGAGGAGAAGGTGGTTTCGCCGGTTCATCAGTGACCAGGAGCCCGTGCAGACAGCAGGATCCAAAGCAGCGAAGCACATCGCTGAACACAAAGGTAAGGGATGTGCCCTGCCCGTTTTCTGGCACACACGTGAGCTGCACCTGGCCTGGCCCTGGCGGACACTGCCGCATCACAATACGTCCCTGCAGATCTGCCTTCCTCAACACTTAGGCATGTGCATAGGCCAAAGTACAAACCTAACATCCCTGGTCACACTGAGCTGTAACTTCCTCCAAAAGAGTAATTTTATTGATTGAATGGAAGCTCAGACAGTAGAATATGCTCCCTAATCTAAATTATTTTCTCTTCAAGCAGGCAGAGATGACCACTTTAATTGATTTTCTTTCTCAGAAGAGGGAACACTTTAAAAGTGGATTTTATCACATTAACTGTCCAAAACCACATAGTACCTTGAGTCCAAAGTGCCTCCTTGCTGCTAAAGCTTTCTAGCACATGCTAAATTCTGCTATCGCAAATGCATTCGCTGTTCCCGCCCAGGCCTCTGTGAGCATCTCTGCAAATGCACTGTCCTTAGGGGGACGCAAGGTGGGCACCAGCCCCCCTGAACCTGAGACAAACTCCTGGGGTTTGACAAGTTTGCTGGGAATGTGCAACAGGCCAAGGGAACACAAGGGGAACACCCTCTACAAGAGCTGCATCACGCAGGCACAGCTGGGCTGTCACCCCTTGCCAGACCCTCCACACAAAGCCAACTGCCCATGGTGTTGGGCTCTTATACAGCTGAGCTGGAGTCCCAACCTGCCACCACCTCCAAGGGCTCAGCACCCCCAGGGCGCAGACCAGCCCCCGAGGAGCCCACCACAGGCAGCACCAGAGCACACCCTGGTGCCTGCCATGCCCTCCTTGCATCGTCAAGGCATCAGCTGGTGGTCTTTGACACGTTGCCTTTTAGAAAAATGAGTTGTTCTTGGAGATGTTTCACTGATAATAAAACAGGAACAGGATCTGGATGACTAGACACCACATTACTAAACTGCTTTTTAGTTTGTTGAATAAATTTACCCAAACAAAAGGGCACCTTATGCAAAAATCCCGCAAAATGGGTGCCGCCTCGTGATATCTACTGAGGGAATTGTCAGAAACTGGAATGAGAAGGCGACAGTGGTGGTGTGTGGGAGATGAGTCACACAGTGTGAGTCAGGCAAACGGAACCACTGGAGTTACCTGAGGCACCAACTGGAGCTGCTCTGTGGAGACTACCCTGCTGGTAGCAGGTTTTGGTAGCAGAGACACTGAGAGCTGCTCAGCCAGGGCTTTGCTCAGGTTCTAACTGCTGATGAGAGGAGTCAGAAGGACTAGTTATTTGTACTCCCCAGCGTGCTGAGTTGTAGAACCAAACACCCACCATTTGTGTATCTAACTGAACACAAAGTGACATTAATAACAATATTGTTAACAAGCACTGGAATGCCTTTGAAGATCATCAATTAAAATTTAACTACCTAAGTAGAGTATGTTATCTTCCCCCCCTCACTCATCCTAGTAAACTTAGAGGCTTGTTATTTCATATGGATCCCTCCCGTCTTGGGAGGTGCTCCCGAGTGGTCGTGACGCCGGTTGAAGTTTCGGTGGTGCCCACGGGTCCCGCAGCACTGCCTATCTGCAGAGCTCCTTGTCGCGCTGCCCCTGTGACTCTGCCCCAGCCAGCCCTCCCTGGGACGCCTGACCCAAGACGAAACCCATAGCATCTGCCTCAGCCTGTTGTGAACCTCCCAGCTTGCTTGGCCTTGCTCTGTCTCCACCCAGGAGCACACAGCCTTGGGTGAGAAAATCCAAGTCCCTTTTCTGCTCCAGGTCAGGCTGTCTCACCTGCTGACACTGCAAGTGGCTCAGGGTAGGGACCACATCTTTTGCTGCTGGGGTCACTGGCAAATACTGTTAGTGCAGCAAACGAGAGTGTTCTGTTCCAAGCGCTTCCAGTGGATGGAGTTTTGCAGTCTCCCCTGGCCTGGTTCCGCCACAGCACGGGATGCAGAGGTGACAGGGACTGGGTCACTGATGTGACGTGACGTGCTGCTCTGAGACCGTGGAGTGTCTCCATGACTCACTCACAGGAGGATGTGAATGAGGAGCTGCTGCCGCGCTGGCGGCGGTGCGGGAGGGACACGGAGGGTGGCTGTCCTGCCCAGACCCCACTCAGGCTCTCTGGCCCCACAGCCTCAGTGTTCTGCTGCTACTGGTTTGAATTGAAGTACCAAATCAAAAGTCTCCAGTAAAATGAGGAGCATCCCTGCTGCAGGTGCGTGACTCCCACCTCGTTAACAGTGTGCTGTGGGTGTGTGTTCACAGCTTGTGAGTCTTCTAATTGCATGTTGGCAAATTACCGACAGGCAGATCTTTGCGTCTGTAATATTAAAATGCTTGATTTATTATTCCTGGTTCCAAAATCCCTGTTAGAGTGGCTCAAACTTTCCTTTTCTTGTGGATTATTTTATGGCTAATATAATGCTTTTTAGTTTCATTTTTCATCATATATTCTTTTCCTGTCCACAGCTCACATTATTTAATTTCCCCGCATTATCATCTCAATGTTGCTACTTCTGAAATCAAATTTCCTTTCTTCCTTCATATTTTAATGATAAAATGTACTTATAGACACACAACTGCTGCATAATAGTGGGACTCCACATCAGCCTTCCAATCGTATATTAATAAATGGGCCAGAGTTTTATAGTATTTTTGTTCATGACAACAAAAAATAGGCTGAACATTGGATGCAGTTTAAGAGAAACATTTATCTTTCATATGCTAAGTAAAGCAAGACATATTTGAAGAGATTTCTTTGCGCTGGAGAGGAGGAGATAGCTCAATGTGATAGCTACACGGTGCTGCCTAGTTAAAGCTGAAGTTATCTTTCCATTACAGCTTTAATATAACTCTCCATACCCAAAGAAAATTGATTTTCTTAATATTTCTCTTGCACCGTCTCATTATCAACTGGAGATTTTAAAGAACACTTGGGACAAATCCAACAAGATTTCTGGAAGTTTTTGCCATTTTGAAGAGTACATTCTCCTTTACTTTAGAGGTATGCCATGTTTTCCACCCAAGGGAGGGAGCTGAGCAGGCAGCAGCTGCCTGCAGGAACCACAGCTCCAGGAGGGTTGTGGCCTCTGGGTGTGCAGGGGCAGGGTTAGGGGAAGGGAAAGTCCTTTCCCTTCTGTCCATTCCCACGGGACAGTCACACTGACCCCTTCAATGCACCTACCGAGGCTCAGTGCCAAGGGAGAGGTCTGCAGAGGTCTGGGACCCCAGAGAGGCTGGGACTTGGCCGACCACAGCCCTGCATGTGGTGACACTGCATTGCCCCCGGAGGGGTTTTCCCTTTCTCCATCCCCATCCCACGTGTGCTGTCTAACCCTGGTCTCGCATGCATACAGGCACCTACATGGGATGCTTCACAGACGATTCGAGGGAGAGGACACTGAAGGGAGCTGTCTTCTATGACTTAAGAAAGATGACAGTAGCTCACTGTCAGGAAGCTTGTGCCGAGAGGTGAGTGGTATTTTTTCACTGCAAGTTTGCTCTTTCTTAACAACAAGTAGAACTGAACTTGAAATGAGAAAAGCATTCCTACATTAAACATACAGCATCTGTGAAAACAGTGATTTTCTCAGACCTTCAGGCACGGAGTAGCTCTGCTACCCTGCTTGAAGCAGACTGTTGCATTGCTGCCTGTCCTATGTGGCAGCACGGCTGCTCACAACACAGCTCTGTTGTCCTGGGCAAAAGTGACTGGTTAAAAAGTCTCTGTTAGAGCTCTGCCATTTGATGGATGTTGGTCTCTAGCCCAGATGTCGCCGACGTGGCTGTGCCCTTCCCAGGACAGGCTCCGGAGCCACGGGAGGGGACAGGCTGCTGTCTCTGGGGGACAGACAGCCAGGGTGACAGTGCCTGGTTTTGCAGGGCTTACAGCTACGCGGGCCTGGCGTTCGGAGCCGAGTGCTACTGCGGGAACCTGCTCCCGGACGGCGCCGCCAAGCCCGAGGAGTGCAACAGCGAGTGCAAGGGGGAGAAGGGCTCCCTGTGCGGAGGGGTGAACCGGCTCTCGGTCTACAGGGTGGAGGAGCTGCGAGCAGGAGCCAGGCGACGTGAGTGACCGCGGACGGGAGGCTGCTGTCCCCGCACGACACCGCTCTGGAGCGGCAGAGGACGGAGGGGCCCGCAGGGCGCTGTGTCCGTTTGCTGCCGGTCTGGGCCCTGCGCTCCCTGCCCGAAATAGCAGCGCTGCTCGCTGCCTCGGAGCAGGGAGACGCGCCCGGCACGGCTGCCTCAGGGGAGGAGACACCGCACAGCGCACGGAGACTGCAAAAGCAGCGGAATTTCAGCTGAAATACGGCTCCGTTTGGCAAACGCTGCAGGGGGCCAAACCCACGTATTTAAGAAACAGCCTTAGAAGTGGGTGCCCTGTAACAGGAGGGCAGAAAAGCGCTCAGATCAAGGCCACCCTAAGCTCAGATGATCCGTAACAAAATGAGTGCTCTGCGACTGCATAGCAGGGAATAAGTAGAGGCCAGAGAGAGTCACACCAATCCTTTTCCAAAGTGAGAGAAAGAAGACCACAGAGTTTTGCTTTTCCAAGGACTGCTCTTGCAGTTGGGATCTTGTTTCATCTTTAGATGGCAACCCACTCTACTTGTCATTCAGTCAGCTACCATGGGAGACACCGTGGATAAACCTTTAGGCCAACACAAAGCACATAAAAGATCTAAACAGCTGAGCAGTCTTTACATTTGGCAAGCTCACAAGACCTTACAGATGTTATTTGCTGAGAAGCAGCACCAAGATCTTAGGTTGTGCCAGTATTGATGGTACTTCATTTCTTCTTAAAGACAAGTCAAGGTTTGTACAATAATCCACCCAGCTACATATAAATTATATATCAAAGGTACATAGACCTAAATTGCTAGTGTCAGGCTGACAGGCACGTTGGCAGGCTTCCCAGGACATGCATCACTGTTTAAACCTCCAGCATAAAATATATATACACACATATTTTGTAGGAAAAGGCAGCATTTAATTTTTTTTTAAGTATTAATGAATTAGTCATCAAATTAGTCTAGCCTAGAGCTAGATTTGTATTTTGTTTGCCCTTAGTGATACCTAATAGTTGTCTGCTTGAAGAATCCCCCTGACACAAGCCAGCTGAGGGGCCAGCAGAAGCATTAATCACGATGAACAAGTATGTTGGAAAGTAACTCTGAGACTCTAACGGCCCCAGTGATTTACACTGTGCAATATAGAGCAGAGACCTCTCATAAGACTTCTTACACAGAGCAGAAACAGCGGCATTTCCATTTAAACCTTCCCAAAAATGGGGTTTGCTGACTCCCCTCTCAGTCCCTCCCTGGACACCCCACGGGGGATCCGGGGGAGGGAGTTTTCAGGATCGTTTACATTCCTTTCCTTTTCTAGTGCAGATCATGGCAAGCTTTGTAGATTTTTATCGGGGCTTTTAAGCCTTTGAGGGGAAAGCAGGTCCCCAGAGGGAGCTGGGACCTGCGAACAATAGCAATGCCCTTGGCTGGTGGGATCTAACCCAAACTCCGTGCTGCAGCTCTCTTCCTCCCGTGGCTTGCACAAAGCTAAAGACATGTGCTCCTTTCGGTACCGCTGGATTTGCAACATGTTTTTCTAGCATATCTCATGGTTTCTCTTATTTCTGCAGCCTTTGTAATATAAAATTTATTATTTTTAGCTTCTGAACCTATTATTGTTCTTTGTGAAAGAGGCAGGATGCTATGGTCATCGTTTTCCTAAGAGAAACCTATTTCATATCCCCACAGGGAGGAATGTTATCTATCGAGGATGTTTTAGAGCTCCAGAAAATTTAACAGACACCTTTCCAGTCTCTTTGATACAGCCCAATTTGACGGTGGAGATGTGCTCTGAATTTTGCTCCAAGAAAGTAAGAACAGCTCTCATTTCACATCCTTTCTCTTTTGTTATTCTAAATTCTGATCGGCTCAGGGAAGAGCAGAGATTAGTGCCTTAGAGCTTTGAATTTGTAAATGAGTTTCCAAAGGACAAAACTCATCAGAGTAAATACCCAGTGATGCATCTGGTCAAACGGGAGTGGGGAAGGCGGGAGGGAATCAGAGCAGTGCTCCACTGCACACGATACACAGAAAAGCTGCTCTAAGTGATGAGTTATCGACCACGAGGAAATCGATGCCGTTTCCGTGTCACATTCAGCCGAGCCCTGAGCCAGACTTGGCCCCGGGGGATGTGCGGCGCGGGGGGGTGGACGTGGGCTGGTCCCCTCGGCGGTCGGGAGCCAGGCCGGGCAGGGCAGGGGCTGGGCACCCTCCTTCAGCGCCTCGTGGTCCTTCTCCTTTCTGCCCGACTCCAACGAGGCTCATTTTCTGTACGGAGGCTTCACTAGGTGCTCAGGTTTCGCCTGCAGCCACATTCAGCCTCATGCACTAAACTCAATGTTCAATTACTTTTTGCAGCATCACAAAATTGATTAAAACTATTAAGGCATGAAAAACAAATCTTCTTAATTACTAGGTAGAGTGGGAAAGCTTTTCCCAGTCAACATATCCTCTAAACCAGCTCATCAGTGTTGTAAGAATGCACCATGGAATTAGCTGCACAGTGAACAGCAGTGGATCACCCACACCCCCTGCGTACAGCACCTTCCAGACACACACTCCGTGTTCCTCATGTCCTCCATGCATAGAAACCTTCAGGAATTAGCGAGCAATTCTTCCAAAATGCTGCCATTAATCTATTGCCTAATACTGGGGAAAATATTTGATCTGTCTGTGCCAGTTTACCCGAAATAACATCATTTTATTAATATTTACTGAGGAAGTACAATTAATTATTGCTTCGCTGTTTGGGAGAGTGATATGAAATATCTGGAGAAGTTGTTTTCATATGGACTCAACATAAGGTCTGTGTTTTTAAGCACAGTCATACTATTCTGTTTTGGGAAGATGACTTTTCTAAATAAGTGCTTTTTCAGAAGTATTGTTCCTTCAGATATAGGTATCTGAAATTACTGATGACTGAGAAGGACAGGGACGTATAGGTTTGTTGCAAAATGCACGTGCCAATTTTTTTTAAAATAACAAACCCATCACTTTTACTTGGGAGATAAATTTCCTTCCATGATCAGCCCCCATCTCTTACTCTTTCTGATAGCCTGAAAGACTAACTGCATCAGATAGGAAGTTGGAAAAGGAACTAATTTAGCAATCAGAGAAAAAACAGATATGTGTATTTTTAATCTATTCATAATTCTTAATTTTGATACAAAGTACTACAAAACAATCAGTGATTGAATCATCACATCTGCTGTGTAGCTATTGGAGAATCTTAACTTTCCTTACAGCACAGAAACTACCTGTTGAGGCTTCATATCACAAATTCTTGTGTAAATAGTCCTGTTGAAATCACCTGTCCCTGAGCTGCAGCTCACAGGCTGCACACCTGAGCCTGTCAGTGTCTGCACGACAGCTCAGTTCCCTGGCTGTACACTGGTGGGCTGAGAGTTCCCTTGCAAAGCCCCCTCTGACTCTCTCACTCCTCATCCACATGCTGCCCAGGCCATGGGAAGACCTCACAGGTGAGGGTCAGCCCGACTGCCCTGCGTGCCCCAGGGCTGGGCACCTGAGCCACTGCCACCCTGCACTGTGTGCTGAGGGGTGCAGAGCAGCTTTGCGCTGACCGGTGTCCTGCAGACACAGGAGGGCAGACAAGTGGTTGTGTATGTCCTCTTGCAAAACCTCCAGTCTTCTAAAGTCCATCACTTGCAGGGGCCACTTGGCACAAGGAACATTTTTATTCTAGGCTGTGTTTGAGGGCAGGGACAGTTAATTTCTCAAACTGAGAAACACTGCTTCATTGTCAACGGAAAATTTCTGTTTGCAGACAAACCCAGAACTATTTTGCCCTTGGATCAAGTCTGTAAATAGTTTTTGACAATGTCATATCTCATTCGCTAAGCAAATGTTGGCTGTTGGGCACAGCACACGTGTTGCATTTGACTCCTTATCAGAGGATGAATGCATGGGGAAGAGTGAGAGATAAGCTGCTCAGCAGTCCTGTCACACACTCCCAGGCTCCAAAAGACTTTTAAAAGGCAAAAAGTGTTGATATGGAATAGGTGGATTTGAACATTCTGCACTCACATACTCCCCAAACTTCCTTCAGCCTTCCTGCCCACCCACACAGCACTGTGCCACTGAGTGAGCCACAGGGGACCCTGGGACAGTCCCAGCCCTGCCAGGAGAAGTCCTGAGCTTTAGGGCCAGTAAGGAACTGCTAATTTCATCAGGATATAAACAGCACATGTTTCCCTCAAACTTGTTTTAATTCTCACCACCACTAGCCCAGCCTCACTGCTCTGCCACCACACAGCAAAGCAGCTTTGCTGCCTGTGCCCACTCTGGGTAAGACTAGTGCACCAAAATCTGCATCGAATCCATTGACAAACATTTCTTGCAGACAAAAGTTTTCTTTGGGAATTCATTCCTTGCAAGGAACACTAACTATAACCTCCTCGTGGTCGCACACCTTAGGAGGTCTGGTGTCCAGAAGCAAGGTGGCAGAAAACACGACATCTGTGCCTGACAGCAGAGCCCAGAATATTGTGCATTTTTAACATTTTTGAGGTTTGTGTCTGAAACCCATGGTTTTGGTGATTGCAGTACGAGGACAGCAGCAGTGAAGGAGCACGAGCTTCAGAATGACATATCAAGCACTGCTTTGATCTTGACCGTGGCCTCGTGAAGATGTTTTTCTTTGCATGGCAGCAGCAGCATTCCCCACAGGCTGTTGATGCCATGGCATTTACGCACCGGTCCATTTTCTCTCTCCCGTAGGAGTTTCCCTGGGCAGTGATCCGAGGGCAGGAGTGCTACTGCGGCTACCCCAGCGGGCGCTGGTCAGCGCGGGCCGGCTTGGACGGGCCGCGCTGCAG